AGCTCCCATATATATGAAATGGGCAATACAAGTTCGAATTTGAAAGATACAAATGCTTCGGCATATTTAGTTCTTTGAACTTTAAATTATAATTATAATCATAGCGTTTATGATTGAATTCTCCCATAAAAACTTTTAATTGTTATGCGCAGCTCTACTAAATTAGCAAAGTAGTGTAGGGTATCATAAAGTCGGCCACGCCCGACTTTAAGACTTTCTTTACTGGTTTTATTATAATTAATTGCTTGTCGTCATTTCATTTAAGTGGTATTCTCTGTACAGAGGACGTCAAATGGTTCTCTTTGCATAGAAGGCCTCAAGTGGTCTTTTCTTAAAAGAAGACGTCAAACTTTCTTCTTTACAGAAGATCTCAAGAGGTCTTCTCGGTAAAAAAAGATCTCTTTGGAAAGAAAATGACAATAGGACTTCTTTGCAAAAATGACAACATTAATGTTTTTCTGAGTGGAGTATTTCAAGGGATCTCCGCCTTATAGAAGACCCCAGGATGTAAGCATAGAACCTTAACATATATTCTCAGTATGGAAGATCTTCAGGGGTCTTCTCTGTACGGAAGAACTCACTCACCACTTTGGGACTTATGCTGTATAGAATCAAACTCTCTCATTTAGAAAAAAGTATTTTAATTATAGTACCCCGCGTTGGGCGCCATATCTCTGAAGAAGTTTATTGAGTAATGTGTTTGAAATGGAATTGGGGACAATTTTAATCGTTTTGTCACCATTAAAGTATCCCAAAACAGATTCTTTTTTAAGTTCCGGTTGGGCACCACTTGCACAAAATTATCTGTGCAGGTCCACGTCTTCGTATAGACCCCACATGACGGTCCCTCCCGATACTCCGTATTTTCATGATTTTTGCGACATTATTTAACGTAATTGTTACAAATTTCGAAGTTCGTAATGGGCACTGCAGCCTACGACAAAAAAAATCTTATACAGGTCCACGTCTTCATATAGTCCCGGTTTTTATTTAAGTGGTACTACTCGGAATTTTTTTAAAATTTTTCAAGATCCTTCGAAATGGTGGAGGGTATTAAAAGTTCGGCCCGGTCGGACTTAGCTGCTTTTCTACTTGTTTTGCCATCATTTCGGTGACTCACGTTGGATGCCTAACGTTATTAATTGTATTAGAAATGTCTAATTAAATTGGGAACAACTCTAGCGTCATCATCAAAATTTCCTTTTAAATTCATTGTCACTTTGTATCTGTTATAGTAATAATAACCCAATCCCTCGTCGGGCGCCATAATGCTGGTGTTCCTTTTTTTCTTTTGTTTGAAGTTTTGATATTTTTGTACTGCTTCCATCATAAAATAGATTCGAGCTGTCTAAACTCTCTTCAAAGTTTAATCGAGACTAGAAAGTTACAGTCGATTAATTCAGCCGAAACGAAGATGAGGTCGTTATCGTTAAGACCCCATTTTTACTATAATTCCTTAATTATTTGTTCATTTTATTCCTTCTAAAAAAATATAGAAACTCAAAAATGTATGTTTGTACCTTGGGCGCCACTTCGACAGCAATTATTTACTCCTGTTTTTGCAAAAAGTTAATTATTTAAAAATTCTCAATTTAAATGGAAATCCATAATTCCATGAATATAATAGATAAAAGTCAGCCAACAACTCCCCTCTCCCCGCCTGAAATCTATTTAATTTCTTGAGTTTTTTTTTTAATTAGCTTCATTTAATCAACTCATTCGTATGCAATAATTGCTCGTCGATGTGCTATTGTACACCACATGAAAGCATCTCCTCTTATCTTCCCTATGCTTCATGACAATTTCTTTGGAATTCTCATATGTTTTATCCTGACATTTGAATAATATCATAAATAACACATACCGTTGAGATGGCAGTACGTACGTATGGATTTATGTCTGTATGTATGTAGCATCAAAAATACATACCACAAGTCTTGAAAATGTCATTGCAGCATAAATTCATGGAAATGTGCGCCAGCCAATGTGTGCACAAATGTTTGATAAAAGCAGCAGCAGCACATTGTGTAATGTGGTGTTTGTAAACGAGGTAGGTATTCGAAATTTTCTGAAAAAAGTTTAAATATTGTGGTAAGCAGTAAGCAATATTTTCTGGCTACTTGGAATAGGTTGAATGACATTAAAATTTTCAAATCTTTTGTTTATAGGAAAATTTCTAGAAGAATCTCCCATATGAAAATCCCCTGGAAGATGTTATATGCTCTCAAAAATTCAAAAAAGACCTGGGAAATATTTTCAATCCCAATGGATTTAAAAATTCTTGTGTCCATAATGGCGCCCAACGTGGGGATAGTAAAATGCAGTTCATTTAAAGCCTCTCACTTCAATTACACTTATTTAAAAACTAATAATTGTGGGCCCTGACTTTTATTCAAACCCAAATACTCTTTATTGATTTGTTAGGAGATTTAGATTTTATTTTGAAATTGGCACCCAACGTGGCGTACGATTTCCATTCTAAGCCATATAAATGTGTATTTTTTCTAAAATTTGTAGATGTGCAACACATTCATAGAAAATAACTGGGAGACCAGACATTTAATTCCAAAGCCAAATACGCAATTAATTTGTTAGAAGATTTAGATTTTATTTGGCGCCCAACCAAGTGTACGATTTCCACTCTATGACATTTGAACATATTCTCCTAAAATTTGGAGCTATGAAACACCAGCATAAAAAATAGCTGGGAGAAAAAATAACCAGGGAACAATGAAAACTTATTATCCATTAAAATGCTTTCATTTAAAGAGGTCAACTTGGACTTATACAGGGTGAGGTGAAGAAACTGCAACCAACTTAAGACTGCTGTCATTTCTAAGCCACTCGTCCTAAAGCTGTTAAAATTATTCCAATGACAGTTATTATACAAAAGCATTTTGGTGAGAATTTTCCAGAAAAAAAGTTATTCGTGACGGAATTCAAGCGTGATAGTGTGATTTCTTTATATTTGGGTGGAAAACCAGAAGTGGCTATCGTTAGAGCACTCCAGAATTTAAATATGAAAAAATCTTTTGTCGCTCGTTACCATGATACTGGTAGCCTAGCCCGGTGTCAAGGAAATGGACGGAAGAAAACAGCAACACCAGCAGAAATGGTTCGAAAAGTAAAGAAGCGACTTGATTGAAACCCGCGTCGCAGTGGCCGAAAAATGGTTCGTGAGCTGAACATATCCCAATATTCCATTCGGCAAATATTGAGAAATAAGCTCGGGGTAAGGCCACTGAAATTGCATAAAGTGCTAGAACTTACACCGCAACAGAAAGAAAATAGACTTGAAAGAGCTAAAGAGTTGCTTCGCTCGGCTGAAATTGGTCAACTGCCGAATTTGGTTTTCTCCAATGGGAAAACATTCTTGGTCCAGCAATTAATAAAAAAAAATATTCGTGTTTACTTGCCAAAGAGGTCTGCTAAAAATTTGCCCCTTCGGTTGGCCACCATAATTCAAGCGCCGGGCATGGTGATGTTGTGGGCCGCCATAACAGCCGATGGTCGCTCTCCGCTCGTATTAATCGACCGTGAATAAATGCCGAATATTATCGTGAAAATATTCTGGAGGGTATATTAAAGTCTTGGGCACGCAAACATTTTGGCCGCCGACTTTGGATATTCCTACTGGACTCAGCACCATCGCACTTAGCACGCGCCACCCAAGAATGATTACAAAATGAGATTCCTCGCTTCATTTTCAGCGCAAAATGGCCACCAAAATCTCGGAATACCCAATCCGTTGGACTATTGTGTCAGGAGTATTTTGGGGAGGCAAGGTTGGCACTAAAAAATACCAAAGTGTCGATCACCTCAAGCAAGCGCTTTGCCGAGAATAGGCCAAAATACCGCAGAGCAACATTCGGGGAGCGTGTGACGCTTTCATGGGCCGTTTGAAGGCCATAATTCGTGCCAAAGGTGACCAATTCGAACAAATCGAAACTTTTTCTAAATGTTGATGTTATTTCCGATAATTTTTGCTTTCATTCAATAAAATTTAAAAAAAAATGTAAAAATTATGGCGTTTGACTTTGTTGCAGTATTTAATCTCACCCTGCATAGTATTTTTGTTTTCGAACAATCGAACTTGTTTGGTCTTTTTATCCCTGTAAAAAAATTCTCAAAAATCGATTTTTTTTTTGTGTTTTGATCCTTGAAATTAGATTCACCCCTCATATGGAAAACTACATTTTTTCAAATACAAAGAAAAAAAAAATAAATAAAATTTATGATAGTTTCTACACAGAGTCCAGGTGATTTTTCTTCTTTGTGCTGGTGCTCCCACAAATTTTGACTTCTGGAAGTTTGTGTTATGTGCAAACGTCATGTTTCTGCCAGATGAGTTATGAATTTACGCAGATGGTTGTGGGTGGCTACAGGAGCTATGGAATACCATTTTGAATAACAAAAAATTGGGGAGAATGGATGTACGTACAACCACATATCAGAACATTGAATGGTGATCTTGATGAACCATAAAATATAATTTGAATGCAGAACTGGGCTATTAATCATTTTGAGATCGAGGTCTGGAAAGAAAGGGGTTGTTTATCATTCCAAAAGTAAACAAATAGACTTTTTTTGTGTTATTTTTAAAACGAATTCATGTTTTTTTTTTTGCTTTGTGAATGAGACCCTGAGTAGGAGGGGAAATTAGACAGCCAGCCGGCTTGCAGGCAGACTCTTGGGCAGACACACTTTATGTATAATTAGATACATTTTTCTACAATTATACAAACAATTAAAAGGCAAAACTGAAATGTTTCATTTTTTTTTAAATTACCACTTCAACATTTCCAAATGCCAGCGTGCCGCCAAAGAGGAAACATTAATCATTTTCTCAAAAATTAAAAAAAAAAATACAACAATTTATGCAGGAGGGTTGAAAGCCATCATTAAATATGTTTTTGAGTATTTCGCCCCCTGCCCTCCTCAATTTGATTACTGCCGCCAACATTTTAACAAATGTCTTTATTTTTCTGTTTGATTTTTAGATTCCTTTAATCGAACCCAAAGATGAACCCACATTAATTGAAGGTCATCACCATCATCACGCCGACGCCGCCAGCTCACATCATAATCATCATCAACACAAATCGATGTCATCATCATCGTCGTCGTCATCGCCACATCATCACCATCAACACCAGGACCCCTATGCTGTGGAATTGTCACACTGTCGTTATGGCGATAATGAGCTGGTCTTGTCGCTCGTGCTTCAGAATTATAATTGGCATGACCTGAACGAGAGTCGCCGCTCTAAAGTTTTGGACAAACTATCCAAATTCTTTGCCATACCAAAGGTACGTTGAAAACTCAAACAACAACCCATATCCTGAAACACATTCAATAAAATAATACCCTCCTTTCCTTGCTTCCAGGAATTTATCACAATGGAAAGTGTCACCAAACATGATCTATTCGAAATGCAAAAGGAATCTGTGAAGAAGGGAAACAATAAGTGCCATACTAATAATAATCGCAAACTGGGACGTGTTGATTTTATCGTAAGTATATTCCAACATTGGCACAATGGACCGACCGTCGTCACACTCACTCACACAAAGACACACCTATACTTAGACATTTGTGTTTTTGTTGAATTTACATTGAAAGGTCCATGAGGAGTGTCGTTTTTCTGTTCTCCCTTTTTACCATTCATCTGTCGTGCAATAAAAGGACTTGAGAATCGTCCAATATGATGGAGAGTCATTGTATTGGTTGGCACTAGAGGAAAGAGGAAACTCTTTAAACAGGAAGTTATTAATCAAATAAAATTTTACAGTCACTTCTATTACCCAAACAATAGTAGAACGGATGAAAAAAGGAGGGGGACAGGATGCATTTGGCAAAGAAAAAAAATATGTTGTTCAATACTGCTTGTAGAATTTCAAAATTAAATTACAAGGTTGAAGTTCAAGGTTAATCGTATTCCAATGGTAACAAGTAAAAAAAATTATTTTCGGCCGGGTAGAACTTTTAATAACCTTCACCATTAGGTAAAGAAAAAAAATATATAAAAGTATCTGCATTCAAAAGTGTTCCACTTTAAACTACAAATGCCCGTAAGACTGTTTGGATAATGCTGTTAAACTTAAAAAAAAAAACATAAAGTGGGTGAGGCCGTTATATGGGGACCATACAAAAAAACGGAAACCTCTATAGACAATTTTATACTTCAAGGATTGTCATCTACCAAATTTTCTTAAATATCAAATTTGAAACAATTTCGTGGGTAAATGTGACTAGGATTATAAAAATACCAAATATCGGTGGGTATCGTTATATGTGTGCGCTGTAGGAAAACGTGGACCTAAATATTCAATGTTCTGTCACCGGATCTAGAACCCATTATGAACTACCAAGCCCATTTTTAGACAAATCCGTGGGAAAATGTTGTAAAAATCATCAAAATACTAAGTATTCGGAAGTATCAATACCAAAAACGTGGACTTATACATACTATGTTCCGCCACCGGAGCTAGAACCCATTACGAACAACAAATACCAAATTTTCTGCGAATCCGTGGAAAAGTGTAGCAAAAATCATCAAAATCCCGAATATCGAAAGGTACCATTATATGGGAGATATACCAAAACGTGGACCTATGCATACAATTTCCCTACACCGAAGCAATTATCCATTATTACTTACAAGTACCAGTTTTTTGACAAATCCGTGAAAATATGTAGCGAAAATCATAAAAATACCGAATATCGGGAGGTACCGTTATATGGTGGCTATACAAAAACGTTTACTGCCAAATTTTGAAGGTCTACGTCAAAAAAATGTGGGCTTTATCGTGATTTCAACAGGTAGACTGGCATCGTTAAATCGACTTAGAATTTTATGCTGATCATAAATATATATATACTTTATGGGATCTACGACGAATATTTAGGGACATATGGAATGGCAAAGTTAATATACACTCCTTTGCAAGGTGGAGGAGTATGAAGGTCAAAAGTCCGAATAAAATCTACCAAGATTTGTTTCCTTAAAAAAAAAAAAAAAAATAATCCACAACATAGAACAGTGTTGGCTTGTTTGTTCGGGATACCATAGTATTTTGTTGTTGCAAAATGGTCAGGCTTAATCCTTTTATTGTTTATATTAAATGTCTGCAGATTCTTTAAAAATATAATCACAAAAAATCTAGATTTAAAGGTCTTGACAAGAAATCTTTGAAAGTTGAGAAATCCTTAAAAATAGTCATTAAAACCCCTAAAAATGATACCTTAAAATCTACACAAAAGAAAATTCATGTTAAAATGCATGTAAATCCTTTCCAAAATTATTTTGAAAAATTCTAAAAAAAAACCTGAGACCCCGGGTGGAAGTCATTTACAAATAATCATTAACATCTTCCAAAAATATCCTGGAAGACCCTTAAGAAATTATTTCTGATCACATTTACATTTAAAATTCTGGAAGTCCTTAAACAAAATGAATATTAAAGCCCATTTTTTGAAGGCCTGAAAGTCCTTTAAAGAATAATGCTTAGAATCCTTGAAATTTAGAAAAAAAACTATCCTTTCGAATCCACATTTACAGGCCTAGTATTCCTCTTAAAAATAATCATTATTATCCTAGTAAATCATATTTTAAAGCTCGGAAACTCTGTCAAAAAAAAAAAAATAATAATAATAAATCCTTTAAAAAATTATCCTAAAAAACATCGTTTATAGCTCTGAAAGACATATTGAAAATAATCTAATAATACCTTTAAAAAATTATTCATAAAAATTCGCTGTTAAGACTCGTAAATACTTTCAATTACAGCCTTTAAATCTTTCAAAAATTATCCTTAAATTATCCGTAAACAGCAAAATTTCCTTTTAAAATGAATCCTTAAAAGACCAACCTTAAAGACCTGGGAGTCCTTCAAGAATTAGTCTTAACAACTCACTTTTAAAGTCTTGGAAATTATACAAAAATAATTCTCACAATTTCACATTTAAAGTCCTGGAAGTCGTTTAAAAATTAATTCTTTGAAATCGATATTTAAAATTCGGGAATTCCTTTAACAACTTATTCTTAAAAAAATTAAGTGTAAAGAAGCTGAAGTCCTTTTAATAATTTTTCTTTAAAAAATCCAAGTTGAAAGGTCTGGAAATTGTTTTAAAAATTATGTTAAAAATCCATGTTCAAAGGCCTGAAAGATCTTAATTAGACCATACTTTTTTAAAATCTTGTGAAGGGTCTGGAAAATATGCCTTACACCTACATCTAAAGGCCTGAAAGTCTTCTCAATGCCAATCCACATTTAAAGGTCTAAAAGTTCTTCATAAATAGTTCTCAAAAGTTTTAGCAACATTTTTTCTAGAGCAATTTTTGAGCAATATTAGTATTCATCGATTCTCAAAAATTTAAAGGCCTGAAAGTCCTTAACATAATTCTTGAAACTCTATTCTTTTACGAAAATTGTTCTTAAAAGTCCACTTCAAAAAGAATGGAAGTCCTTTAAAATAAACCCTTACAACCCACATTTAAAGCAATTATAAAGATCCACATTGAAAGTCCTGAAAGCCCTTTAAAATTAAAAAAACTCTCACTCCGAAATACCTTTAAAAACACTAAAAAATCACGCTTTCTTCCCTCAAAAATTTGAAACATTTTCATTAAAAATCCCCTTTTGTATCCCTGTAGGTCCTTTGGGAAAACTATTCCTCTAAAATAATTTTTTTCTTTGAAAGTCTATTGAGGAAATACCAAAAATCCACAATTGTAGTTGTTCTGAAAGTCCTTAAATTTGTAAATTTTGAAAGACTGAAAGTCCTTTGAAAAACATTCCTCTAAAAAAATGCAAAACCCTTTAAAAAATTCTTAGAAATGCACGTTCCTTGAAAAAATATTCCTTAAAAAAACGATCTATCAACTTGTTCGAAAAAATATTTTTTTATAGAAATCCACTTTTGTTTTTCTTAAATTCCATTTTTAGAATAAATTTCCATTTTTTTCATAGAAAGTCCCTCAAAAATATTTCTAAAAAAATCACTTTTTTCCCTTAAAGTCCTTTGTAAGAATATTATCTAGAAATCCATAATAAAAAATCTTAAAGTCTCAAATTTATTATAAGAAATCAGAAATAATATACCCTTAAAATCATAAAAAAAACTGAAAGTCATTTGAAGAATTGTTTCTTTAAAAATCCATGAAAACAAGATCTAAAAGTCCTGAAAAAAATTCTAAAAGTTCCTCGAACATTTTCCTCTAAAATCAATAACAAATGTTCTGAGAGTCCCTTAAAAATATTGCTCAATAATCCTTGTGTGTCCTTTGAAAAAATAATCAAAAAAAGAAAAAACCCTGTTTTTCTGAAAGTCTCTTTTTAAGCATATTCTCTTTTGAAAGTCTTTGAATAATATTTTTGAAAAATGCATGTTCGTTTTATTCAAAATCATTTTTGCTGATTTGAGATCCCTTTAAACTTAATTGCTTAAAAATCCAAGTCTGTTGTGCCGAGAGTCCTTTGAAAAATGTTCCTTAAACACCTATGTCTGTTATTCTGAGATTCTAAAAAAAATATGCCCTGAAATAATTAAAAAAAATCTAGTAGACCTTTTGCGAAATTCTGAAAGTCCTTTGAAAAAAAATAATGCTTCATTAAAAGGCAAAAAATTCCAGAAAAAAATTACTTAAAAAATTTCATTGAAAAATCTAGCTTTGTTTTATTTATTTTTATTTCTTAAAATTCCACTTCTGCTGATTTGAGATTCATTTAAAAATAATTCCTTAAAAATCCAACTCTTTTTTGCCGAGAATCCTCTGAAAAATATTTCTTAATATTCTGAGAGTCTTTTAAAAAATATACCATAAAAAATTGAAAAAAATCTAATAGTCCTTTTGAGAAGATCTGAAAGTCCTTTGAAAATTCCAGAAAAAATTATTTAAAAATTTCATTGAAAATCCAATTCGATACTTCGATTTATACCTAAACCTCATTTTAATTTTTATCAAGTCTATTGCTTTTGCGGTTCTTAAAAATATTTTCAAAATCCGTAACATATATGTTGCTATTTTATTGGAGTCCTTGTTATTAATAAGAATTCCTTGTACCTTCCAGATCGGCTGCCGTTCCACCTACTTTACCATAACCGAACCGATTGTCAAGCAAATTGAACAACAATTTAAAGAGGGTGCTCTCGATAATATTACCGGTGAGAAATTCGGTTGGTGGATCATCTGGCGTAAACATTACAAAAATGCCACTCGGAAACGTCGTCAAGTCGAAGGTTCCGGTGACGCTGAGGATGATGATGAATATGAGGACTACGACTATGATGGAGATGATACAATGTAAGTGGAGATACTCTTGTTTTTTGTCACAATACTTATGCACACCGTTCCCCATATCTTTCAGTGATGAGACTCAGCACAATGCTGTGGACAGCTCTTCATCCACGACCACCACAAGTCAAAACAGCTATGCTGCCAACGATAACAACAACAACAACAAGGTGGAAGAAGATGAAGACGATGAGGTATGTAATAGTGAATTAAGTTTTCAATATCCATTCTTTCCAAACGAAATTGGTTGTTACAATTATGATTTATTTATTTTATTCCCTTTCAAACATTAAACATTACAATTTTTTTTTACAAAATTTAAAAAAAATAATTATGAAAAAAAAAAAAACAGAAAATTGATTCAAAAATCTAAATGTTATTGTTTTTCAAATAATGAAATATGTTTTCGTAATCTCTATATAACATAACATTTATTGAAATTTGATTGAATTGGTTCTGTATTCCTATATAAATACATACATATCTATTTGAATACCCTATATTAAGAATTTATATATATATTCTTTTAAACTAAAACAAATTGCACTTTTGTATATTTCATTTCTGTTATTAACATTTTTGGTTAAACAAAAAATAAAAAATATATATATTAATCCTTTGAAAAAATTGTCCTGCAGTTCACAAAAAGGGATTTCAATGTATTTAAATTTATGAAAATAGATTTATACCCTACACACAATATTAGATTTAAAAGATCCTTAAAAATCAGTAGACCATATAATGTCTTCCATATAAAGTCTTTTGTTTATAGGTTTTATATGAAAAAGATGACGATTTGAAGGTCATCTATAAAATTACGAATTTTTGAAAACCTTCTATAGACAGTATTTTGGTATAAGAATTGTTATTCCCTCTGCTATATTGGATTTTGTAAGGGACGTAAGATACCCTCAAAACAGCAGACCATGTTATGTCCTCAATAAAAATGCTTTCTCCCCTTTCTTTCTTTAAAAAATTGACCATTTGAAGGTCTTCTATAAAAAAAAATAATTTTTAATTGAAGTCCTTTTGAATGGCCTTTTCTTTAAAACATCGAACCCCCTGTACAGACAAAATCATTTTTATGATCTTCTATAGATCATATATTCTGCAGACAGAAACTCATTCAAACATTTTCTGACGGTCTAATGTTAACAGAAGACTTTCTGAAGTTTATGAACAGCAGATTTTGAAGCTATTCTATAGGCAAATATTATTTTTGAGAGAAAAAATTAACCCATTTTCAAAGTATTTAATGGACAGATCTTTTGGAGTTATTTTTCAGACACAAAATATCATTTTGGAAGTGTTCTATAGACAGAAGACCTTTCGAAGCTCTTTTATTGACAGGCTACATTTAGAAGACTTTCTCAAGACTCTGAAGGTCTGTTATAGTCAGAATTATATTATATAAAAAATAATTCTTAAAATTCCACATATAAAGGATGGAAAGTCTTAAACGACCTTTGAGAAATATTCCTTAATGAAGACAATCTGAAGTTCTTTCATAGACCCCAGCCTTTTTGGAGGTATTCTATAGACCGAAGAATTTGTAAGGTCTCCTGTAGAAGGAAAATCTCTGACAGTCATTTATAGACCAATGGTGCTTAAAAATATATACTCTAAAATTCCTTAAAATTGCACATTTAAAGGACAAAAAGTCCTTAAAAAACAATATTGAAACCACTCCACATTAATAGGACCGAAAGCCTATAATATCCTCTTTTAAAAGACTAAAAGTTCCATAAAAAGGTCTATAGTCCTGGATAAAGAGATAAACGAAATTCTGAAAATCTTTTAAAAATGATTAAAAATCCACTTTTCCAGAACCTTTTAAAATCCATGCTTGATTTTCAGAAAATCCTTTGAAAAACATTTCTTAAACGGAGGATCTTTTAAAGTTATATTAGAGACAGCAGGCCTTTTTAAGGTATTCTATATACAGAAGGACATGTGAAGTTTTTCTGTAGATAGGTGATCTTTGGTAGATCTTTTTAAACACAAGATATTTTTTTGGAACGTTTTGTGGACTTCTGTCTTTTGGAGATTTCCTATAGAGAGACTACCTTTTAAATCGGAGTTACTTTTCCAGGACTTTTACAAAATTATATGAAACATAATACTGAAAATTCTACAATTAAAGAACCGGAAACCCTTTAACCAATTATTAAAAAAAAACATTAATAGGACCGAAAGCCCTTAATATCCACGTTTAAATGTCTAAGAGGTCTAATGTCCTGGAAAAACATTCCTTAAGAGTATATTTAAAAATTCTTAAAATCTTTTGAACATTTTTAAAAATCCACTTCTTTTTTTCGGAAATTCTTTGAAAATCCATGCTTGATTTTCAGAAAAACATTCCCTAAACGGAGGACCTTCTTATTTTATACAGAACGATTTGTGAAGGTTTTCTGTGGACAGATGATCTTTGGTAGATATTTTTCAAACACAAGATCTTTTTTGGAACGTTTTGTGAACAGAAGTTCTTTTAGAGGTTTCCTGTAGAGAAAAAAACTTTTTTATACCTTTTTCGAGGTCTTTTATAGACTTTATTCCACAATTAAAGGGCCTAAAATCCTTTAAACAAATATTTAAAAAAAACCAGATTGATAGGGCCGAAAGTCCTTAATATCAACATCCCATAAAAATAATAAATAATAACCGAGCATTAAAAGTCCTGAGAAAGGTATTCCTTAAAAATACTCAAAGTACTTTGACATTTTTAATACACATTTTTCTTTGGAAATCCTTTGAAAAATAATAAAACTCTACGTTTGAAATTTTCTAGAATTCTAAAAACAAAATACATTTTTCAAGGAAAGAAGAAGACATTTTCAAGCTCTTCTATAGGTAGAAGAACTTGTGAAGGTATTATTTGAATTACTTTTGAAGATAGAGGACCTTTCAAAGACTTGCTTAAGACCGAGGGCTCTCTGAAGGTTTTCTACAGACAAAGGGGGATTTAAAAAGTACAATCCATAAGCAGATGTCATTTAAAAGGTCTTTGATGGGAAAAGGCCCGAATGTGAACCCCCTTGAAAATACGAGGCCTTTAAACTTTTATAGTAATGTAAGTTAAGTTTAAAAACTGCAAAGTATGCAATAAAATATAAGATATACAAGGTGAAAAGTTCATATGACTTACATAGCGACTCTAAAGGTACGAAGAAAAAGCCATTTCAAATTTTTTCCATTAATTTTCCCATTAGTGTAGGGTATAAAACTATCGACAATCTAAACGTATCCTTTAATTTACCTTCCATTGCCAAATATTTGAAATTCTCCCTTTTTGTGAATTTGCTCTCTCCAACAATTAATGATGATAATGTTGATGATGACCGATAACTATTGTCTATTAATACCAAATGTTGTTTCATTCTTCTTGGTCTCTTTCTCTTTTTTCGTCTTCTTTCTTCATCTTATCTCGTTTTGTTCTTTCATTTAACTTTTTCAACAACTAATGATCTTCAAACAAAAAAAAAAATAAATAATAACAAATACAAAATGTATAAAAACAAAATCTAACAAAAATGTATTACAAAACTGAACTGGATTTTTGATTTGTATTTATTTGTATAACACTTTTAACATATACATACATACATATATAACACTTACACTTATCACCATAATTTTGCACCATTTTTATTTTTACAACACACCAACATGTTTTATTATGAAAATGATTTAACCATCACTGGGGTCTTGAATCACCAACACAACAACATCACTGTGTGCCAAAATGACAACAACAACACCAACCAACCACCCAATCACATCTTCATCATCACCAACAATGTAATTGTCTCTCTCACCCTCTCTCTCTCAATTTGTCTCTTGTAATTTGTCTTGTGATAACTGTCCGAAACGAAAACCGAAATTTTGAAAATAAAAAAAATAAAGCCGGAATTAACATCGAACACATTGGAAGTGGCTGGAACATCGAATCGTGATGACATCACAGCCCTAAAACAAACCGACTCCGAACCCACGGATAATAACGCTAACGAAAATAAAGAAATGAAAAAAGTCACCATCGATGATGAGGAGATTGATGAAAGTGTTTCCAAATTGGAATCGGTCATAACGAAGACCATTGAGAATACCAAACACATTGAAGATATACCCGAAATTGTGGTAGAACAACCGGAAGATGTGCTGCTCAAACAGGTGTTGCAACCCGAATCAGAAAAGTCGGAAAATATTGAATTGAATAACATTTATGAAAATCCCCGGGAGGAAGATAATGAATTCAGTGTGGCTGAAGTCATGGGTTCCCTAACACCTCAAACATCTACCAATGTGTATGGAAATCCGGAAGAAGGTGTGACCAGCACACATCCACCCACCTCAAGCTTCAGCACCACCAGCAGCAAAAACAACAACAATCACAATCATGACAATCAAGCTGAAATTAATTTAGATCTAACACATCATCACCATAATCATAATCATCATCAGCAGAATGCTGAACATCCTAAACACAATCATGGTGGCGGTGAACTCACCTCCACCACATCGTTAACCACCACCCTAATGACACCACCGCCGCCCGTTATTCTATTCGATTCAACAACCCAGACAATCACAATAGCCTCAAACGATATTCCACCACCTAATGACACTTCCGCCGCCTCCTCATCATCATCGGCTGCAACAACCACCGGTGGTAGTACAACAACGAACCCAACAACCACAACAATAGGCAATATATCCGTTAAACAGCCGAATAAGGTAAAGTGTGTCTTGTTTTGTACTGTACCCACACATCAACTACAACAACAACTACTACAACCAAAAAATACTGAACCGAAACGAAACAATTATTTTCGAAACCTGTTCGAAAATCAATTTTCAACATTTTTTGCTGTGATTTGTTTAACTTTTTGTATTAACTCTTATATTTTTCTTCGCCTTCTTTTTTGGCTTTTACATACCTACCAATGTTATTGTGTTGTTTTCCTATTCTGTTTTCCATGTTGGTTTCGTTCTCTTGTGATCTGTTAAGGAGTTATTCTTATAAAGGCTTATTGTAAGGACGGAATGTATAAGACAAAAAAGGAAGATGTATCCGAAATTCAACTTAGTTCATTTCAAAACCAATGTTTCGAACATTTTCTTAGGACCTGTTGGTTTTTGTATGACGCAATGAAAGTGAAATCGAAAAAATAACCCCAATTCTATAGACAATTTTTATACCCTCCAATTTGGAAAGGAGGATATATTAAATTTGTCATTCTGTTACAAACGTCATAGACCCCATTAAGACATAGAGCTTTAAAATTTGGCACAGTAGTTTGCATTGTGTCTAGGATGGTTGGTATTGAAAATGAGATCTATTGGTTCACGTACCTCCCGATATTCGATATCTTGATAGTTTTAGCCACATATTTCCACCAATTTGTCTAAAAATTGGTATTTATAGTTCGTTATGAATTATAGCTCCGGAGCCGGAATATTGTATGTATAGGTTCACGTTTTCGTATGGCTCCATATAAGGCTACCTCTCAATATTCGGTATTTTGATAGTTTAGCCACATATTTTCAGCAATTTGTTTAAAAATTGGTATTTATAGTTCGTTATGGGTTCTAGCTCTAGTGGCGGAACAATATACATATAGGTTCACGTTTTCCTATGGCCCCCATATAGGGGTATCTCTCGATATTCGGTGTTTTGATGATCTTTGCCGCATTTTTGAACGGATTCGTAGTCGGTCATGGGTTCTAGCTCCAGTGGCAGAACATTGAATATCTAGGTCCACGTTTTTCTATAGTGCACATATTTGTTTGAATTTGGTCACCTTTGGCACGAATTATGGCCTTGAAACGGCCAATTAAAACTGTCACACGCTACCCGAATGTTACTCTGCGGTAATTTGGCCCACTCCCGGCGAAGCGCTTGCTTAAGGTGATCGACACCTTGGTATTTTTTAGTGCCAACCTTTCTTTCCAAAATACTCCAGACACAATAGTCCAACGGAGTGGTATCCGTAAATTTTGGTGACCATTGTGCGCTGTCTGTTATGGCGGCCCATACCATCACCATGGCCGGGGTTTGAGTTCTGGTGGCCAACCGAAGATGTACATTTTAAGCTGTCCTCTTTGGCAAGTAAAAACGATAATTTTGATTGTTTACAAACATCTGGATAAGGATTGTTTTCTCAACGGAGAAAACCAAATTCGGCAGTTCACCACCTTCGGGCAAGCGAAGCAACTCTCTAGCTCTTTTGAGTCTATTTTCTTTCTGTTGCGGTATAAGTTCTTGCGGTTTTTGGAATTTAAATGGCTTTACCGCGAGCTCATTTTTCAATATTTGCCGAATGAAATATTGCAATATGTTCAGCTCACGAGCAATTTTTCGGCCACTGCGACGCGGGTTTCGATCAAGTCGCTTCTTTACTTTCCAAACCATTTCTGCTGATGTTGCTGTTTTCTTTCGTCCACTTCCTTGACGTCGAGCTACGCCACCAGTATCACGGTAACGAGCGATGGTACGAGACACAAAAGAATTATTCACATTTAAAAGCTGGAGGGCTTCAACGATAGCCACTTGAGGTTTTCCAGCCACAATATAAGAAAAATCACACTATCACGCTTGAATTCCATCACGAATAACTTTTTTTCTGGAAAATTCTCACCAAAATGCTCTTGTACGCTTGTAAACAATATAATGAACTTTCACGTTTGAAACCAGATACTTTTGCGTCAACATTTTTCTTTACCCAATAGTGGAGGGTATTAGAAGTTATTGGCGGAACTTAAGGTTTTTGTACTTGTTTTAATTAACTTAAAAAAATTCTTTCAAATTCACTTTTGAAACGCCATACAAACCAAAGCCGAGATTTTGAACACAATTGCCTGCCCTTAATTGAACCAAAGCCAAAATCTCGAACAGATTTTTTCTCAAGTTCCTACAATAAGCCTTTAATTTTTCATTGGGGTTTTTCGAATTGTTTCTATTTTAAGTTTTTTTTTTTTCTTAAACCAAACACTGGACAAAACCTGATGACTTATCTTTAAAGCTACAATGTATCTCAGTTCTCAAAACCATGTCCTTAGGACAGATACAAAACAACCCACCAACCATTCCAACAAGCCAAAATACCAACAAAAAAACCTTAAATTTTTTTTCTCTCCTTCTTTTGAATTGTTTTTCGTTCTTCTCTATGTTGTGAATAATAGTTAGTTTTCTATGGGTTTTCCGATTCGTATTGTTCCCCATTTCTGTTTTGTTTTTTCTTATAACAACTACCTACCTTTACTTGTGTACGTGTGTTTGTCTGTTTCGTTCCATTTTTTTGATTGAAATCAGTTCTTTCTTTCTTTTAAATATCTTTTTTCTAAATGTGTTTTGTATTTATCTTTTTTTTCTCATCTCTTAATAACCCAACTCTTTAATGTGTGTGTGTGTGTTCATACATATCTTTTGTATGTTTTTGTCATTAGTGAGAACAACAAACACACAATTTTTTAAGGGGGAAATTAAAATAATTTTTTGTATAACAGTTTAAAAAAGGTAGTATATTGCGGAGTAGATTAAAACAAACCTATTTTATGTTATAAAACTGTTAGAATCTCCACTAAAATGTGAGAAAATCTTTATATAACAGTTTCGTATTTTGGACGTAAACCTGTTACTTTGTCAGAAGTTTTCAAATCTCGATTAAGATGTGCAAAAATATTTGTATAACAGTTTATTATGATATAAATGTTTAAGTTTCAAGCTTTTAAAACAGTATTTATTGACAATACTGTTCAAAAATATAGCAATTTTTAAATTTTTTGTGTATAACAGTTTGTAATAGTATAACATTTTGTTATACGGTATGAAACTTTTTAAAAGTGAAACTTTTGTATAATGCTATCAATTCATTGACTGGTAGAATTTGCCAGTTGGTTAAACTTCGATACATTGTGTGTATACCATTTTATAACAGTATAACGGTTTGGTTTTTGACTCGATTAAAACCATTTTTATTAAGAAAAATGTTCAACTAAACTGAAAAACTCGAAAATTTTGCGTGTATAACAGTTTATAACAGTATAACAGTTTTGCTATACATTGAGAAAATGTTTCAAATTGAAATTGATATGTAATTAAAAGACAATAGGAGCAGGTTTTCAAAATTTCTGATTCAAACTTGATGGTAGCATCAACTACATAGTCCTGAAAAATGGTACCACTGACAGAAAGTTTTCCTGGCGAGCTTAAAAAAAAATAATTTCTTAATCGTGACAGGTTATAATTTGGGTTGCTCTACTCTCCATAGAACACCAAGTAAGGTCTTCTATCCATAGAGGAGCTGTGGAAATTAAATTTAACATAGAATAGCTACAGAAGCTCTCCTCGCCATAGAAGACCTGCAATAAGTCACAGATTTTCTCTCTTATAAATATGGCGCCAATTACTTTTCCCAATAAAATAAAATGTTGAGATATCCTTCCCTCCGGCCTCAACACTGGATACCTCGTCAAAGACGTAAAAGGTCATATCCCTATAGGTGACCTGGAACAGCTGTTATATATGCAAAAGAGCTTTAAAAGGTCTTTTTTGCAATGAAAACAAGTTAAAAGTTCTCTCTCTCTATTTCTTTAATAAAGACATTTAAAAGGGGTTCCCTTGAATGAGGGTCCATAAAAGGCTTTCTCTTCGTAAAAAACCTGTGAAAAAACTGTAGAAAACCCCTATGAACAGTCTTCTTCTCTTAGAATACCTATAGAAGACCGGTGAAAAGTCTTCTCTCTATAGAATCTCTGAAAACGGTTTCTCCCTATATAAGACCTGTAAGATTCCTGTGAAATGCCTTCCTTCTCTCTTCTCTCTTTAGATCTTATAGGTTCGCAGACGGCATTTTTTTAAAGTCCTCTGATGATTATCTGTCTGGAGAATGCCTTTGAAGAGTCTTTCATCTGTTGAAGACCTCAGAAAGATGTCAACCAAAAGAGGTATACTGAAAGCATTGATTTTTTTTCTTTGGAGGACATCCATCTGAAGGAGATCTAAGAAAAGCATTTTTCTTACTGTAAAATGCCTTTGAAGGCTCTTCCATCTGTTGAAGGCCTCTGAGGGATATCAAGTCACAGAGGTACTGCTGAAAGTACTACATTCTTCTATCTGAAGGAAATGTATGAAAAGCATTTTTCTTGCTATATGAGCCTTTAAGGCGCCAAGAAGTCCTCTGATCGGTGTTCTATCTGTAGAATGCCTCTGGGGATTCTTATTCAATCTTTTATCTTCAGAAGAAGGACATAAATATTTAGGAGATCCCCGAAATTTAGTTCCCTATGAAAAAAACTACCATAAAACCTACCTTAAAGAGTATTCTGCTAACAGGAGACTCTACAAAAGTTTTAAATTTTTGGGGGTTTTGTAAAAAGCTTTCAGAATATAAAAAAAATTTAAATGTCGACGAGTTTTATTGAATTTCTACTTTTCCCTCATCTTCTCTTTCTTGTAAATATGTACAAAATATATTTGTATATACATACATTTTTGTATATACATCAATACAAATTTTATTATGTTATTCTCAATTTTTGTTTTCCCCCCCCCCTTCCCTTCTCGATTTTGAAATTTTACCATGCAATTCTTTTGCCATGGTACCTTAATTCAAATAATTTTTCGCAAATGGTTTTCAATTTGAAATTGTGTGACAAATCAAAAACAAAAAAATAATGTATAATTTAATTAAAAAAAAAAAAATATTGAACAAAAACAACAACTCTGCCAACAAATTTTTATGTTTTCTCTATTACGACAATGATGCTACGACATTGCAAACAAAAATAGAGCAACAAAATGATTAAAGTCGATGTCAATAAATACGATGACGACGATCTGGATGATGACGAAGACGACGAGGATAGCGACGATGAAGATGAGGACATCGACATCAATGAAGATGTTGCCGAAGAACTGGCCAAACATTTTGGTTTGATGGAACAATTTAATAGCTTAACGGCAAATAAATCACGTCAACATGTCTCACATTTGGGTCACCATCTGGCTGCCGAATTGGATCACTCCAGGGGAGCGGTGACCACACAGACTGTATCTTCGCATGCCGGCGATTATGAAAATAAGGATAATAGACAACAATTTACATTGCATCCTTACTACAACAGTAATTTACTAACAACAACAACACCTCCATCGCCAACAACAACATTAAGTACACCAACAACAACAACTACAATCATCATCAATCCCATCTTCATTAGCACGACCACCACAACACCATCTACCGACACTAACGAACAACGCCATGAGTTGGAAAATAACAGTAACAACGTCGTCGTCTTTACTGGCAAAAAGGTGAAATTTTCATAACTTTTTTCCAAAAAAAAAAAAAAAAAAAAAAACCTTCACCCAAGTAAAAAAAGTAAATTTTTTTATGAAAATAAACGCAACAACATATCATGAGAATGGCACAATTTTTTATGGCTTATTTAAATTGAATGTGTCCAGAGCAATAGAATCGCATAAATAAATCAATATTTTGAAAGCTATTACAAAAAAAGTACTCGTACCACATACTCCTAAGACCGTTTATTTGGCAAAAAAAGCAAAAACAAAACTTTTCTTTTATGGAAATGCTCGTAACTTGATATCGATAATAATTATCCTATGAACCAGAACTACTACCACTACAACCAGATCATAAAAAAATAAAAGGCATGCCAGCGCATGTTTTTGTTTTGGACGAACATTTTGAAATGAAAACAAAGAATTTTACCAAACGTTTTTTTTAATTTTTTTTTTTTTTTTTTCAATTTACATTTTTTAACTAATACACCATTTCCGAATGTATATGGAAATATCAATAGAAAAATATGTAATATGAGTAATTCATAAAGGTGTACCTTAATAATAAAAATATTTTAAAGAGTAAGGCAAATAAAATAATATCATTTTTAAATTATGAATTTCAGGTTTCGAAAATACTCCAACCAATTCTAATGAGTTACAGAATTTAAATCAAATCAAATTTTATTTTTTACTTTTTTATTGTTATACCCTTAGCCATATGGCTACATGGCTATGGACAATATCGGTCCACTTCATCAAGTACCTCCCCACAAAGGGCCAAAATCTGAATAATTAACGCTCTTATAAAATGTGAAGTAAGTGTCCGATTGTCTTCAAATTACACACATAACAATATTTTTATAAAACTAAGGTCTGATATGAATATGGAATATATCGAACCACTCCTTTTGGTACCTCTCCCACAAAGGGCAAAAAGGTTGACTAATTAAAACTGTTTCAAAATGTAATGTAAGAGTCCGATTGCCTTCAAATTACACACATCACGATATTTTTAATAACCCAAGGTCTGGTGGGAAGATGGAATATATCGGTCTACTCTTTCTGGTACCTGCCCCACTAAGGGTCGAAGTTTTGAATAACCAAAACGATCATAAAATCCGAAATACTCATCCGATTCTCTTCAAATTACACATATAAATTTTTTTTTTTTATTAGCCCAAGGTCTGTTATGAAAATGGGATATATCTGTCCACTCCTTCTGGTACCTCCCCCACAAAGAGTCAAAATTTAAAGTATCCATGAAGCGCATAAAACAAGAAATTAACATACGATTCCATCCAGACATGGTACATCTCAATATTTCCATCAACACAAGATTTGTTATAAAGATGGTAGAGATCGGACCATTTCTTGTAGTACCTTCCCCACAAAGCGCCAAAGTATAAAATAACTAAAACTATAATAAAATCCGAAATAAATATGCAGTTCTCTTTAAATTGCACATATCAGAATTTTTTTATTAACCCAAAGTCTGGTATGAAAATGGGATATATCGGTCCACTTCTTCTGCCACCTTCCCCCACAAAGGGTCAACATTTTGAGTACCCATGAAGCGCATAAAACGCAAAATTAACATCCGATTCCATTCAGACTTGGTCTATTTCAATATTTCCATCAACACAAGATTTGTTATAAAGAAATCGAACCTCTCCTTGTGGTACCTCCCCCACACACGGTTCAAGATTTTTGAAAAAACAAAACGCTCAAAGAAAGCGAAATAATCATCCAACTCTCTTCAAATTTCATACATTCAAATATTTTTGGCTAATGCAAGATCTTTGGTGAAGGAGATATATATATATATATATATATAACTACCAAACCCTTTTGGTACCTCACCCACAAAGGGTCACAATTTCCATTATTTATATTTGTCATAACTTGCAAAACAAGTTGAAAAATCTGGCACGTTTTAATATTCATATCAGTCTTAGGTCAGATACGAATTGGTCAATATTGGACAACTGCTTCGGAACCTTCCTCAAAAAGGGTCAACAGTTTGAATAATCATAACTCAAGGCTGGGGGTATACATTTGTCGGCATAGCCGACTGATACTATTTTACTTGTTTTATTTTTAAAATAATTCTAAAAAAATTAAATTAAACTGGAACTTTTGCCTAAACTCATAATTATCATAAGTACCAAAAAAACAGGTCGAAAAATCAAAATAAAAAATAATATAATAAAAATATAAAATAATTCCCCTTGGAAATGGTGTAAATGAAAACTGGCTTAAAAAAATGATTTCTAATATTTTTTAATATTTTTTACATATTTTTCATTTGGTAAACTTTTTTTAATTTTCGTACAATTTTGTTTTGCACTCTACACTTGGTAATCATAACTTTTTGTTATTTTGGTTGTTTGCAAATGTTTTTGTTTTTTGTCTGTTATTTGTAAAAAAAAAAAGAAAATCGAAAAACTTTTGTAATAATATTTATTAATATGGTTATATGTGTTGGCTAATTTGTGCATGTTTATCTTTCCTAACTCAAAACAAATCGAACTCACCCCACCTATTTGTTTACTTTCTCTCTAAAACTTGAATCACTGTTTTCCAACCACCAAACGAACTACCAAAGATTCTTTTCCCCCTGAGCCCAGCCCAGAACTCTCTGCAAATAATCAATTTTTTTTATTACAGTATTTTCAGCATTGAATTGTATACGAATTTTTTTTCTCAATTTTTAAGCATGATCTCTTGAATTCCGAAACAGCAATTTAACAGGCAATTTCTTATTAATATATTTCAATTTTTGTTTTTTTCATTCCCAACTCTAGGATGTTTATTATGATACCACTTTGAAACCGGAGGAGGAACAGGAGTTGAGCTCAAGTAAATCGGTGAGTTTTGTGTTAAAATATTTTTAAAATTTCAAAATAATCGGCAAATTTTCTCATTTTGTAGGCCTCTTCAACAACACCCGCTGAAGATTCAATTTTCTTTGCCTCCTCGACAAATCCACCCAGTCAAACGACCACACAATCGTCATCTTCACCATCACTCTCAACTACCCCAGAATTGCCCTCAACCACATCGGCTATCCCTGAGGATATTGAACCCATAGTCGAGAACACACCGCCCATGATTAAATCACGTCTCCAAAAATTGGCTGTCACTTCGGGCAAATCCTTCCAATTTGCCATTCCCGAAGATACCTTCTATGATACTGAGGATATGACCAATTTACGTTTGGAATTAACCGATAAAGAGGGTCGTGAGCTGAAATCGAATTCTTGGTTACAATTCAATGCCGAAACAAAGGAGGTTTATGGATTGTAAGTAGAATTTAGAATATAAATTGGCTTCTTATGCGTCTTTATGTCTTCCAAGAAATTTTAGCTCCTTAAAGGTGGACTTTGAATAATGTATTTTGAGGGCGTATCTCTTTTATCCCCGTAGAGTGGGATTTTTATACCCTACGTCACACTGTGGTACAGGGTATTATGTTTATGTGAATTTGTTTAACATACAGAAGGAAACGAGATAGACCGATAACTCATTTTGATTATTTCCATAAAATCACACTCTGAGTCGATGTATGCATTTTTCGTCCCATTGTTCGTGTATTTTCGAAAACCGATTACCGATTATTGGTTAAAAAATAGTCATCAATATTCCGTGTTCTGGAGCAGTGTTTTAAATTAATTGTTTTAAAAGTTTATTTCGCATGTTGTTACTACAAAAATGTCAAAACAGAACTGAAATTTAGAACATTTTCTAATAGGAGGATTACTTTTACGCCACCTTATTTTCCTTCGATTTAAAATTTATTGTCTTGTGTAATATTCGTCAAAATGGGAAGTATTTCGGCACATTCGGCCTAGAAGTAAATTTGGTGACAATCGGTTCAGATATAGCCATAGTAGCTCCCATATATATGTTTTATCCTATTTTGTCTTTGTGTGCCTCACTTTCGTAATATGCACTCCACAACAATGACATTAACTCTATAGAGATTGGTTCAGATTTGTATATAGCACTCTTATGTATCTTTATTCGATTTCACGTTTACTTTACTTTACAGTATAATATCAGCTCAAATAGAATATATTTTGGGGGGAAATCGCTTCAGATGCAAGTCTCACCTTCAAAATTGAAATTAATTCAGAGTAGAAAATATTTCCCATGCCTTAGTTCCTCCTGATTCTAAATTATAAATGCTCTAAAGCCATAAAACGCATTCAAAAAAGGTTCATAGTTGGTATGATCTACTACACATAACTTCCCAATATAGTGTTTATTTGTTACGACTAGATCTACTAAATATGCATGGTGGTGTAGGGTATCATGTAGTCGGCCCTTTTCGACGTTTGGTCTTTCTTTATTAGCTAAAAATACATTTTTAGGAAAAACGTCTCCCTAAACGTGGATATTTAAAAATAATTGCTCAAGGTGAGCTCCTTAAACATGGGTTTTGAAAAATGTTTTTTCAAGGACTATGGATATTTAAGAATATAATTTTAAAGGACAATCAGCCACTTAAACGTGTATTTTTTAAAAATTTTGCAAGGACTACCAGCTCCTTAAAAGCGGATTTCTATTTCTCGGCTCTCTAAACGTGGATCTTTAAGAATGTTTTTTTCAAGGACTATTGGCTTCCTAAATGTCCCTAGATAAAGTCTTATTTCAAGAACTATCGATCCTCCTGAAAATTATCGGTTAATTAAACGTTGATTTTTAAGAATATTTTGTTCAAGGAGTATCGGCTTCCTAACAAGAATTTTGAAGACAATTCTCGGACATTTTAAAACAAGGGCTTCTGCATCCTAGAAAAAATTGTTCAAGGACTATCAGCTTCCCAAACGAGGATTTTAAAGAACATATATCGACTTTCTAAACGTGTGTTTTTAGGAATATTTGTTTCAATGAATATCGGCCCTCTTAATGTGAATGCTTAAAATTACCAGCTCCTTAAACTTTGATTAAGAATATTTGTTTCAGGGTCTATCAGCTAATGTCGATTTTTAAGAATAGGTCTTCAAGAACTATAGGCTTATTTCAAGGACTATCGACCCCCTAAAAATGTATTTTTAAGAATATTTTTCGGTTCTCTATACGAAGATTTTTAAAACTATCGGCTCCCTATACAATGACATTGTTCAATTAATATCGGCTTCCTTAACGTGGATTTTTAAGACAAGAACTAAATTTTTAGTACGATTTTTTTTCAAGGACTATTGCCACTTTTAATTATTAGGGATTACATTTTTAAGGACAATTATCACCATACCGGCGGTCTTTAGAAATTTTAAAAACATTTTGGAGAACTTTTAGTCCTTAAATATTGATTTTTAAGATTCCTTTTTCAGGTGCTATCATTTCCTTATTCTTCCATTTATTTTGGATACTTCTCCAGGGATATTTTTCCTAACGCACTCCTCTTAACACTGACTTTTAAAGACAATTTACATACGATTCTAAGTTTAAAATATACACCTAGAAAGGGATATTTATTTTTTAATAAGAATTCAATAAAGCTAAAATAATACCTGCCCCCTCCAATTGGTATATAAATCAATAATTGCAATGCCCATTTTTCTTTCTTCAAAGACCTTTGGATGATTCGGTATCGAAATGGCAATATCGTCTCACAGCCACCGACTCCGGTAATGAATCAGTTGTGGAGACTTTTGAAATTTCCGTGCAACAACATCGTGGTGTTAGGACTATCAATCATGAGGTCAATATTGCCGTCAAAATAAACGAAAAGAACATGCACTACATTGACTGGCAAATGAAACTCATCAAAGGTAAGGATATTCTCAATTGAATCGTACAGAAATCGTTTACTAACCTCCAACTTGTCTTTTGTAGCAATTGCCACAACCCTGGGTGATGAAAACACCAGCTCTATTGTAGTGCGTGAAATTCGTGCCAATTCCCAGGATCCCTCCATTGCCACGTTGGTGTATTTCAATGAAACCCTACCGACTAGCGAATGTCCCGAAACGGAATTGAATAATTTGGTGAAACGTTTGGATGCCAATCGTCTAAGTGATTTGGTATATCCCACATTGGGTATAAAATCGATTACAGGCCAATTGATTGGTCCCTGCCAGAAATCCGTAGCCAAGTCGAAGGCACCCACAATTAGCGTAAAGAACTCCCCCCCAGTACCACGTAACCAGGTGGATCGTGTTGTGGCCACAGCCGGTCATTTGTTGGTCTACAAAGTGCCCAGTGATACCTTCTTTGATGATGGTAAAATTACCCTAAGCCTTAAGACCAAGGATCACAAAGAGCTCAGTCCCACACATTGGCTGCAATTCGATTCGAAAAATGAGGAATTCTATGGCATACCCAAAGCGGCTGATGTTGGTTCCGAAGAGTATATGTTGGAGGCTGAGGACACAGCTGGCTTAACGGCCACCGATGCTTTGGTAGTTCTGGTGAATCCCGCACCCAAAAAGGAATTCAGCGTTTACTACAAGGCATTTTTGGGCGTTAAACATGAAAATTTCCATGCCGATTTACAGCGTAAATTTGTTGAACGCATTGCCCAATTGTTCGGTGATGCCTCGGCGCAAAATATTCAAATTCGTTCAGTGAATCCCATACATGACACCGACAGTACAGCGATAAGTTTCTACAATACAACGTTGTACAGGTCACACAACCGTTGTCCCGAAGAGGAAATCGAATCGGTGCGCAGTGTCTATCAACAGGATGGTGTTATGCGGGATCGTGTGAGAAAGATATTGGGAGCAGAGTTAAATATTACAAATATTCAAATCTATCCTTTGGCATGTAATGGTAAGTTGGGGGGAGGGTAAACATTTTAATTGTCTCCGATTGAAATGTGTTGTATTTTCTTATTTCAGAGCAAACAAATGTCATCCATCGTGAGTATGTGCCCACAAAGACCGATGAACCATTGCTGAAGTCAACGTTCTCCGATGATTATCTCTACACCATTATCCTGCCAGCAATCATTATTGTTACAATGATCCTAATAGCATCGATTATTGCCTGTTGTCTGCATCGCAGAAGACGCAAGAGCGGTAAAATGGAATTGGGTAGGTTTTTGAATTAATTCCAAGATTTACTTACATATTATTCTCAAAGAACCACAAAAAAATAGTTCCAAGGGACTATACATTTTTCAATGACGCACATTTAATACTTGGGTGCGTTATAAATTTGATTGTGCCAACTTTGCATGTCTTAATATTTGCATCAGTTCTATGTCAGGTGTAAAAATGGATAATATCGGTCCACTCATAAAATCGCGAAATAAACATCCGATTCCACTCTGACTTTGTACATCTGAATATTTTCATCAACTCTAGATCTGTTATAAAGGTGGTAGAGATCGGACCATTTCTTCTGGTATCTCCCCCACATAGGGTTCAAGCTTTTGATAAACAAGCCGCTCAAAGAAAGTGAAATAAGCATCCAATTCTCTTCAAATCTCACACTGACAAACATTTTTGCTAACACAAGACATGTTGCGAAGTTGGTATATATCTGCGATCCCCTTCTGGTACCTCACCCACTACAGGGGTCACAATTTTCAACCCTTTTATCTGTCATAACTTGCGAAACAAGTCATCGATTTATTACAACTTGCCACATCTAAATATTTCTCTCAACCAAAAACCTGAGATAAATATAGAATTTATGATTTCGCATAAATCGGAGATATATGTTCGATCTTCTTGTAATTTTGCCATACCGATATTTCTATCTGTTTTAGATGAAGTGTGAAAATGAATCCAACTATTTGTGGCACCTCACGCACACTTTAAACATTTTCAAAAAATTATCACATACCTCGTATAAAGTGATGGAAGTAGTCAATATAGCCCAAAACTGGCACGTCGCAATATTTATATCATTTTTATTTAGGTCCGATACGAAATGGAAAATATTGGCCTATTCCTTCGGAACCTACTCCATAGAGGGTCAACAATTTGATAATCATAATAGAAGTCAAATATAATTAAATAATCGAACATTGGCTGAGGGTATACATCTGTCGGCAAAACCGACTTATATTTTATAACTTGTTTTTATGTAAAAAATACGTTGGTTTTTTCTCTAAAATCTCAAAAAAAAATTGAATGATTTCTATATCTAATTCTTCCTTCCTTTTAATTTTCAGGTGACGAAGAAGAACGTAAATCCTTCCGTACCAAAGGTATACCTGTCATCTTCCAGGATGAACTCGATGAGAAACCTGAAATTGGTAACAAGAGTCCTATTATCTTAAAGAATGAAAAGCCGCCATTATTACCACCCTCCTACAATACCTCAAATATGAATGGTAAGTTATTTCTAGTTGCCATTACGCCATTGAACCCCACACCCTTCCCTCATTTTGCACGTAGTAGTAGTTGTTGTAAAAATCATTAAAGTAATCAAGTTTAATTTTAGGTGATAATGATTGTGATGAATATGTGCCACCGCCAGCTGTTGTGGTGGGTGGTCGCGAGGCTAGAGGGAAATCACCGGCAACACCATCATATCGTAAACCCCCACCATATGTGTCACCATAAATCCCCGAGTCCACAAACTGAGAGTAGAGAGTCAAGGACGAAAACTCTAAGGGAAGCTGATAATAATGATAAGAGATAGAAACTGAATGTCCTTTTGTTACAAAATTAAAAAAAAAAAAAAACACACACAAGAAAACACAACAGCAAATAACAACAAAATCAAATATGATATAAGTAAACTATTGTAAGCCCAATTTAATATAGGTAAGCGAAAGAAATCAACTATGCATATAAATGTGTAATAGAAATTCTACAAAAAAATGCAACAACAAACAAACCAACCAACCAAGCAGCAACAAACAATAAAAAAATACTTAATAATGAAAATTCGCCCTCAAACACATTTATACACCTAAAAAACATTGAATAAATTATACATACTTACATACATATTTATGGAATTAAGTGTCAAAAATCAGTTATATACATACATACATACATATATGAAGAAAAAGAAGATAAACGGAACAATAATAACTTATTTAATATGAACTAAAAAAGGAAAAAAATCAAGAAATGATGAAGATAAGTTAAACGATATTTGATGCTAAAAGAAAAAAATCATTGAAATTCACAATGACAATGATGATACTTTGTACTATACTTACATATTAATAATAATAATATATAAATACATACTTACATACATAAATATATTTATTATATTACTATTATTACTGATCATACTTGTAACTTGAAAAGATAAGAATGCGAAAAGTGAATATTTTCCAAAATGAATTTCTTCGAAATCGCCACAATACCAAGCAAGAAAACATTTTCTGATATGTTTTCCCGCCATTAGGATGTGATTGTTTTTGGTATGACAAAAAAAAAAGAAACGAAATGAAATTTTATTCATGTATGGAAAAGCCAACGGAACTACTTAAATAATAATTTAATTTCACTTTCATATATATACATACTATATATTTTTTTTATTAATTTTATAAATCCTCTTTTTTGAAAATCTACCAACACTACCAAGTAATGTAATAATTTGGGAATCCATATAATATTCAAAACTCATTCAATTCGATTAAGTTGATATATATGTTTGTATATTTACTTTTAATATGTTGTATGTTAAGAGGATTATTTTCATCTGGAAAACCTAAAAATATTTTTTGTAAAAAGAAAACCCTAAGAATATTTTCAATTCTGTAAGTCCTCTGAAAGGAGGTCTTCGATCAAGTATTTTCGTTGTATTTGAATCCTTAAAAATTTTATATATGGAAGGTCTAATATAATGCTTCTATTGCGCCAGGAAAACATACACATTTTTAGAGCCATAAAATTTAAATACAAAATTCCTCAACTTAGCATTCGAAATTTGAATTTATGTACATTTGTTGCCACATGAAAGAAAAATGTAAATCTTAAATTTTTCCTTCCGATTTTTAAAGCTAAAGATGAGAATACATAAAACGTTTTTTTGTCTGGCTTAAGTCATCGACTGGCTTCTTCGGGAAAGAACAAAGGACCGTAAGGCAAAAAATCGAACTAGGTGTGGCAATACATAAAGCCCTTATCTGACTGGCTTAAGTCATCAGCTGGCGTCTTCGTGGATGAACAAAGGAGTTTTTGGTTGACTTAGTTCGATTTTGGCCCTGGGCTCCTTTGTTCAGTTCCAGATAAGCGCTTTATGAATTCCCACCTTAAGTCAACCTAAGACTACTTTGTTCAAAGAATTAAAAGGACTAGACAAAATGTCTTTCAGAGCAGATAGTTTGTGTCTATACTATCTAGAATAACAGGTCATGACAGGACCATGTTAATATAAAAACCACATTTGTAGAAAAAAAAGACAAATAAATCTTTGAAAAATCCAAAAATAGGATTTCAAAATTATATTTCAAAAACTTTCCGAATTAATTACATATTGCCTGAGCGGTTTAAATCGCTTAACATTGCGAACTATGTTCTTACGATATCATAACAACAGATGTATTTTCACAGGGTTGCCATATTTTGACTCTGTCTTGTCCCATCTTTATACTTCTATGTCTTTCCTTTGTTCCTCTACGAAAAAGCCAGCCGAAGACTTAGGCTAGTCAACTAGCGTTTTATGTATTCTCACCTAAAAGGCCTAAATATATTTAAATAATTGTCAAAATAAATTTATTTGAATAATTGTCAAAAATATCTTTAGAAATCCATAACACTTCCGTGTTATTTTTACTTTCACATTCTGGCTCAAATGTATATTTCGATTAAAAAAATTTTCTTTCTTTCAAAAAATTGAAACTTCCAAAAATCATAATGCTGTCGCATTATTAATATTCTTTCATTTTTTATATCTGTACACATTTTTTTTATAAAAAATACACTTTCACCCACATAAAGAGTAAATATACAACAATGCCCAAATACAGACAGTTCATATGAATATTACATAGATTCCCCTTTGCAATTATGTATTAATTTGTTATACCCCTTCCTTCTCCCTCCATCTACTCCCCTCTCCCTTTCCTCCAAAACAATATTTTGAAATCAAACCTTAACTATATATCTATCTTTTATAATTAATGACCACTTGAATGAAAATACAACTGAAGTTAAACACTAAAAACAAAAAGGAAATCCAAAAATCATTTTCACAACAATAAAGATTTTTCTTTACTCTTTTTTTTCTTTTAAATTATATATCTTGTAAAAAATAAAAAAAATTACCTATTATTAATTATAATAAATTTAATTTAAGATTGTTATAAGTTTTTGGTTTAAAACGAAAAGAAAGATAACAAATCATAAGAAGTAATCAATTTTTTTACAACTAGATTGTGTAACACTGAAGTTATAATATTTTTTTTTCTTAAAAAAAAAGAATGAAAACCTTGTTTTTTTGTAAATGTATTCAATACTAATTTTAAGTCAGCTTTAGAAATTTAATAGATTTTCCCAAAGTTTGTAATAAATAATCTCGATATTTCACAAAAAAAAGAAGAAACGAAACACCTGAAAAATGAATTACATTTGAAAATGCATTTTTGAATCAAACCTATTGGCAAGAAGAAAAAGGTCGGCCATTAGTAAAAAGTTTTTAAATATTTGCATTAGGAATATGGGTATTGTATAGATGTAATCCTACACCACCATCATTGCTTATATACTAGATATATTCCTTAACCCGATCACTGTGTTACCATTTTCAGTCATATGTATTTTAATTGAAGGAATCAGCAGGCTAAAATTGGTGGTCGTAAAATGTTTAATAAAAAATCAAAAACAAATGTTAATTTCTTCTCGAATTCAAATGAATGCCAAAAATCTGATTTAAATGAACATTTATAGCGAGTTATTGCGCTTAAAACAGCTAATATAGTTGTTACAAAACACTGTCTACCTTGGCATGCACTCCTCAGAGACTACAAGGAAAAAGGTTTTGGGAATAATAAAAAAAAACAGAACAAGTAGCTGTTTAAATTAGCTTTAAGCCAATAAAGTGTTTATTGCATTTTTGAAAGTGTAAAATACCACATGTGTAACAATTATGTGGAAAATGGGGCTTATATCATCGAAATGCAAAATATCGGTCGGTATCGTTATATGGAAACCGCGGACCAATATGGACAATGTTCGAATACCGAATTTTAAACAAATCCGATAGAAAATGTGGCCTAAATCGTAAAAAATGAGGAATATAAGTCGGTACCGTTATATAAGTGCTATATATAAACGAGGACCTATACAGACATTGTTCTGCTACAATAGGTAGAACCCCTTGCAAACTCTTAATAGCATATTTTGAACAATTCCATTGAAAAGTATCATATATAGGGAGCAACCGTTATATGAGGGCTAAACAAAAAACGTGGACCGATACCGACACAATACAAACTTCTGTGCCAAATTGCTGTACGTCAAATAATGCGGACTGTATCGTGATATCACAAAACAGGCAGAAATATTTAAAAAATTGAAAATATCCTGCTTTCCATAATAGAGGATCAATACAAAGCAAATTTCAGACAATACTCAATTCTATGACGGCACATCCACAGTTGGCTAAAGGTAGCAAACGAATCCACTTTTTTTGAGGCTTGCGAAACTTAATTCTTTTTCATTTTTGAGTTTTGCCTTCTTTTCTTTTTAATATTTTTGATATTTTATGAAGTAAATCCTGCCAATTCGGAATAAAACACTCGAAAGTACTGTCAAAATTAATCCATTTAGTTGCAGAACTTTTTACTCGATCCGAAAATGTTTAAATTTAAATTCGGATCGAATACAACTTTCGACTTGTTCGAATTTTCGAATCGAGTTACATAGTAACCCCCCCAGAAGTGAAAGTCGTTTGAGAGTTGACATTTATATATTTACCTAACGGATACGAATAAAAAACGAAAAACTGCATAAGACACTGAAAAATGTAAGCAAGGTCGAACTTTCAATACCCTTCGCCATTAGCTAAAGCACACATTTGTAAATACACGTATCTGGATTAAAGCGTTTTCCACTTTGCAATGCAAATACTAGTGAGATCGGTTGGAGAAGGCAGTTAAAGTTTTCTATAAACTATGAAGTGGGTTGAACCGTTATATGGGGGCCATACCAAAACGAAAACCTATATAGGTTTGTTATCCTTTGCGAGTGTTAAATACCACATATGGAAAAATTCCGTGGAAAATGTGGCTTAGATCATTAAAATGCCGAATATCGGTGGGTACAACCTTGGACCAATATGAACCATGTTCTGATACTGAACGTTCAAATACCTAAATGTAAATAAATCCACTAGAAAATATGACATAAATCGTAAAAAATGAGGAATTTCAGAATATACCGCTATATGGGCGCTACATTTAAACGTGGGCCTATACAATGTTCTGACACCAGAGGTAGAACCCCTTTATAAACTCTTAATACCATATTTGGAAAAATATCGAATATCGGGAGTTACCGTTATATATATAAATTTTATTCTGCAAAAATTTCTTTACGTCAAATAATATGGGCATTAAACAGAGATATATTTGGGCATCATTAAACAGAGATATATTTGAATCGACTTACAATTTCATGGGTTCTTCGACAAATATTAGGAGGTGTTGCAAACGGAATAAACAATTTAATATACCCTCCTTTAGATGGTGTAGGCTCAATACAATGCAAAGCCAAATTCAGAAGGCAATCAATTTTATGATGGAACATCCGCAGTTTTCTAGGGGCTATATAAAAGCACCGGAAGCTAAAAAAAACCAACAATAATCTATGGGCAGAACTGGCAAAAGATGTAATGGCATCCGGGCTACCAATGGGGAAAGCAGGCGGCATAAACTGCTAAAGAACCGGGTGCAGGCTAAATTTCTTCATTCGCCGCATTTGAAGGTAGTATAATAAAATTTAATTTAAATTTATCCATGTTTCAGAGGGGCGTGAAACGTATATACATATTTGTTTTCATATTTTTGATATTTTACGAAGTAAATACTGCCAATTCTGAATAACACATTCGAAAGTACGGCCAAAATAAATTCATTTAGTTACAGCACTTTTTACTCGATTCGAAACTATTACATGTACAATCCAATACAATTTTCGACTTATTCGAACTTTCGAACCGAGTAGACCCCCAGCATAAAGAACGGGAGCAACGAATAAGACATTAATCTGCCCTATTCTTATAGTTGACCGATCTATCCAAACAAACCCTTTGACTTATAAAAACATATGGTGCTGCAAATACGCCAAATTGTTTGAAGTTGTTGAAAGTACTACCCTCTGGAATATCGAGTATATGTAATGAGGCAATTTTATGAAGAATTGCGCAATGAGAACTCCAAATCCCACAGAGTAAACCAGATTTGGATATAGCTCCCATATATATTGTTCATCCGATTTGTTATTTTTGTCCATCGCCGACGTAATATGCACTCTGCAACAACAATATTTGTGGAAATATATCAAATACAGCTCAGAAATACATTTGCTAAATTTTATCGAGATCGGTTCCGATTTGGATATAGCTCCCATATATAACTTCGTCCGATTTGCCTTTTATTGTGCACCAAATGTCGAATATTTGTCCAAATGGGATGGAATTTGGCACATACGACCAAATTGAGTCTAGAAGCTAGTATGCCAAATTTGGTGAAGATCGGTTCAGGAACATAATATGCACTCCGTAACAACGATATTCAGGGACATATATCAAATACAGCTCAGAAATATCTTTGCCAAATTTTATCGAGATCGGTTCCGATTTGGATATATATTTTTATCCGATTTCAAATTAATTGTGCACCAAATGGGCAATACAAGTCCGAATTTAAAAGATACAAATGCTTCGGCATATTTAGTCCTTTGAACCTTAAATTATAATCATAGCGTGTATGGTTGAATTCTCCCATAAAAACTTTTAATTGTTATGCGCAGCTCTACTAAATTAGCAAAGTGGTGTAGGGTATCATAAAGTCGGTCCCCCCGACTTTAAGACTTTCTTTACTGGTTTTCTTCATAGAAAATTGTCTATGCAGGTCCACGACTTCGTATAGCCCACATATAACGGTACCTCCCGGTATTCGGTATTTCGATTTTTTTAGCGACATTATTCGCCGGGATTGTTTCCAATTTCGTATTTAAAGTTCGTAATGGGTACTACAGCTTATGACAAAAAATTGTCTATGCAGGTCCACGACTTCGTATAGCCCACATATAACGGTACCTCCCGGTATTCGGTATTTCGATTTTTTTAGCGACATTATTCGCCGGGATTGTTTCCAATTTCGTATTTAAAGTTCGTAATGGGTACTACAGCTAATGACAAAAAATTACAAATGCAAGTCGTCGTTCTCGTATAGCCCCCGTATATAGGTCATCATGTAAACGGTATTTTCCATATTTTTCAAGTACCTTCTAAATGGCGGAGGGTATTATAAGTTCGACCCGGTTGAACTTAGCTGCTTTTTTACTTGCTTCTCAGAACCAGATGGGCTTACTGGCCGACCTTTTATAGGCCTTGATTAAAAAATATTCAATCATGCTAATGCTCAATTCTTGTTCTATGAAAATGTGAAATGATAACGTTTCGATCTATACGAAATCTACTCCATCATTATGCCTTCAGTAGAAGACGTGGTGAAGGATATTTGGATTTAATGCAAAAATACCTAAATTCGGAGAAAATCTTAAAAATATTGGAAATATTGAAAACAAATTAAATTAAAATTTTAATAAAAGAAATACATAATCTTCTTTGCAAAGGTAACTAATGTGAAGCCCCTGTATAAAAAAGGCAACAAATCATGAAAACTCCCATGGTTTTTTTGAGTAATTGAAAAACAATCATATAGTGAAAATAAAACGTACACCACCATCAAACAATTTATTGAGAAAATCAGAAAAAAAAAAAAAAAAAAAACAAAAAATAAAATGCATATTAAATTATATGGTAAGGAAATAATTTTTTTTTACAACAAACGTATAAAAATCTAAGAAAATTAAATGAGTTTGAGCTTTTAAGAAAATTACTATTGAATGTACTAGGTTTTTTGAATGTCGAATGGGTTTTAATATTTTGGGAGTTTCTTTTGGAAGAGAATTTCATTTTGAAAATCATTTGTCACTCACCATTGTTTGTGTGCCCCACATGAGTGCCAAGCTATGGTAGCATATCCATC